TTGTTGTTGTTGTTGTTGTTGTTGTTGTTGTGTGTGTGTGTGTGTGTGTGTGTTTGTGTGTGCGCGCGCGCGCGTGTATGTCTGTGTGTTTGAATTTGTCTTTGAGAGAGATTGTGCCCGAGAAAGAGAGGGGATAGATGAGAGAATGGGGATTGAAAGAATGCCAACGAAAGGAAAAGAGTAAAGTAATAAATTTGCTGTCACAAAAATGTAGTTTTGGTTTTTAAAAAGATGAGGGGGTGTAAACGAGGCTGAGGAAGCAGCGAGAAAAAGAAAGACAACGAGAAAAAAAGAAAGGGCAGTGGGGGAGAAAAAAGAGTATGATGGGGCCATGAGAGGTGCTTCCATTTATGAGCGTGACCGATTAACCCTTAATGATTGACATCATCGGCGACGGGTTATTGATACCTGAGGTAAGGGGTCTCCATTACGTGGAGGGACCTGGGAACTGATTAGAGGTGGGCAAAATCCGGAATAAGCTATCCGGATAACCGGATAATTATCAATGAAACATTGTCCGAATTCAGACTCTTAACTCCCTTTCCTGACCCGATTACAGAAGTGTGTGCATTCATTTGTTGAATTGATGCTAACTCGTTTGTCAAAGTGGTTCTAACCCATTTGCCTAAGCGGTTCATATCGTATTATTGGCCGAAGAGGTGCAGCAACATATTATCCGGGTTTTGCTAAAGCGACTCATTGCCCAGCTCTAGAACTGATGAATGCGTAGGTTGATGTTGGCACAGATGCAAGAAAAAGACACAATGTACGTTGGGTCTAAATCTCTTTTGAGGACTTGAAGAGTACAAGGAAAAACGACAGAAGTCACAAACTGGAAATTGCGAGGGTGCCAATTTTAAATGCCTGTGGACTCATAACTTCATAATTGTTTGACTGGTGGTTTATTGTTAAGTGTTGTTGAAAGGGAAATTTATCAAGAGTAATCAACCAACAGTTGAACAGAAATAGTCATGAGTCAACAAGCGTTCAAAGTTGGTACCCTCACGATTTTCAGTTTGTGACTACCGTCGTTTATCCCCTGTAGTCTTCACTTGCATTCTGTTCATTCGGCACTGCCCCAAGACTCGCTGTTTGGGGGTATAACCAAAGAGTCTAACATAACAACAAGAGGGCCCACTCCTCTCTTTGAGCCAATTAAAAAAGTGTCCTCAAGATTTGGTGGCGCCCTCTTTTCAATTAATGCGCACCCTTTGTGAACAGAGTTACCCTACTTGTGTTTAAAAAATCAAAGTGAAACTTACAAGTTTTTGAATAAAGAAGAATTCAAATTTCGGAAGAACGCTTTTTAAAAATGGCTACGCTGACAAATAACCTCTTCCGGAGGAAAGAGTGACTGTTTTCTTCGTCTAATTTGACTTTAGAATGAAAGGCGAGAGGTCATTAATTTTTTTTTAAACACCTAAAACTCCGCACTGAACGAATCCGAACAGCTGATGAACAGCAGTCCATCTGCGCAAGCAAGGAGGTGCTATTCATATTCTTCTTCTGGAGAAACGAAAGAGACCTTCAAAACAGACTGCAGCGCCATCAGAAGCAAAGAGCGGACTTCCGGTAGACACTTTGTTGGCTGAGTGGGCCATCTTGTTATGTACGATCTTTGGAATAACTTGGTTTCTCATACAGCGATTTATTCGATTCTGTTTTCTTTATCAGAAGCTAAAACGGGCTAGTAGCAACATGACGTCTATTAGGCATCATTGCAGGCGGCACAATGCCGTAGCTGCTCCTCCCTCCTCTCCTGGATTCTTGAAAGGGTCTGCCTACTGATCGGGCCTGTTAACAGCTGGTTGGATATTCTTCATGCCGTCTACGAAAGTTCGTGTTTCCGGTCATTGTATGTGTCCTCGTGGTTTTATGCACCCCACTTAATTTAGCAAAATTTGATCTTTTTTTTGCATAAATTCTGATTATTTTCCTTTAGCATTCTTTGTTAAAATTAACAGAATCGCATAATTTCACATTTTTGGACTCAGTTTGCATAGTTTCAAAATGTTCCTTGCATAAAACGACGGGGACAGGACCTGGTGTATGAGGGTTCGAAACGTGCCGTAACATTGCCTTTGGTTTGCTGCTGGTCGGACACATTCTCTACCTCAGAATTACAAAGTTCTACTTGCTCAGTAACTACTGACTAGTCAAAAATTTTACTTCAAAGGCTTTTGAGCTTCACACCACATCAAACTTTTTCGTATGCAGTTTTTGAATATCTTAACAACGGCTCCGAATAATCTTACGATTTCGATAGAGCAAATAGAGCGTTGGTTTCTGATCTCATGGTCTAGTAGCTCAAAATAGCCAAAAATATCAGATAGAACTTTGATATGCTGATAAGAACAGATAAGATACGATATATCCTTAAAAAGTCAAAATAAAGGTTTGTAACATTCTAGTCAAAGGTGAGTACGAATCTTGTTCTCGGATTGTTTAGAAAGGAGAGGATTGGGGGGTTGGGGGGGG